GTCCAGGAGCCCTTGGGGGATGTCCCCTGCCATGGAGGCAAGAGAGGCTCCTGCAGATGCAGCTGCAACTGCATGAGCCATGCCTCTGGTTGAGCAGCACTTCCCCTGTGGAAGCGCACTGACTTCCAGGGAGCAGCTCCTGCATTGAGCTGCAGCCCCCTGGTGGTCAGTGCACATCATAGTGACCGGTTGTTCTTCCATTCAGTCAATTTGCATATAACCCTTTAATTATATAGGATTAGACATCAATAAAGCCTTTTTTTAAAAAAAAATAAAATGGACTGCTTACACATGTGAAAACTAAGGCTATTTGTAGCCTCTCATAGAGAAGAATAACCCATAAAACAATACAATTCACTAGATAAAGGGTAGATATTTAGGCTTTAAAACGTGGTTTTCTGAATTTTGAAAGTCAGAACAATAGAACCAGTTCTTTCTTTGGCCATGATTTCTTTGTCCTATTTCTTTGAAGTCAGCCAACACTTACAATGTTGAGTTGCTCTAAAAGTTACCGTGAAATAATGAGGTTATCTGAAAGTAAGTGTAGCTTCTTGGGTGAGGAGGAAGAACAGGTCATGGCTGTATTTGGCTATGGAAAAACTAGCCCCTGGGCCTTCATGAAAAGGTCCAAGAGGGCAGTGTGAACTGTGATATTGGGCCACCTCTGAGAGGAGATCTGAGGACAGAGGCTTTCCTTTGAGGCTGTGGCAAGGGCTGGCTGAGTGGCTGACTCTGTCCTTACACACACAGTGTATCTACCAACTCGTGGATGCTCTGGCGCTCAGCGGCTGCGGAGGTATAAACTTGGAATCCCAGCTGGAAAACATTACTGGCATGCTGTTCCAGCAGGTGAGTGCTGGAGGCTGCAGGTATCCTGGGCTTGGTCTTCCCCTCTTGTTTGAAGGTGATGGTTACCCCAGAGCAGGTCACTACCTCCACACAGCCCTGGGCTTTTCTCATGGTGACCGTAACTGCACACACCTCAGGCTTCCCTGCCTGGATTGTGGTCACAGAGTGGATATTCTCTATGAGGTAAATTGAATACATTTCTGTATGTTTCTGGGGGTGGAGGCCATTGTTGCTCCCTCTAAACTGGCTAAGGGCAGAGAGTCCAAACCGACCCATTATGCCTGTGGGAAATGGCAGGCCCTCTGTGTTGTAGCCTAGAGGAGGAAGAGGACAATTGAACATTTTGTTAAAAGGTGTTACCGTCCATATATTTGCTGGCCACTGTCTTCTTTTCTTTGGGGCTGTGTAGGTGTATTCCTGGGTCCTATTTTCACGTCCTCCTTATGGACAAGTGCCGCACTTTTTCTGGCTGCATACCTCAGTTTCTCCATCCATGCCAGAGCCCCAGATTTTTCAGTGCTCCCAGGTCTGATGCCCTTGGTCTCCCCACAGCTTTGTGAACGAGTGAACCCAGCAGACCCTCACTCTGTGGAGAACCGTAGCCTCGTCCTGAGGGCTTTCTTCATCCTGGGTAAGTCCACACATTTTTCTAACCCCAGGTATGGGTCTGGGGACTTTGTACTCCATGGGAGGCTAGGTTCCCAAGACCGCCTTCTTTCCTTAAGACAAGATGCAAAGTAATCCATGTAAAGTTTGCCTGAAATTCAATGAATCTCCAAGGGCATAGACATTCTCCCTTCCCTATCCCTTTTGCTACCACTTCCTTCCCCTGGGATTGGCTTCCCGGTCTCCTTTGGTGATCCTGAGCTCAGAAAGGTGATACTGTGATTAGAGCCCCGATGGTCACGAAAGAGGTTCTGACCTAATTGGTGAGCACATGGTGGGGCAGGGGAGGGACAGGCCTAGGTTAGGAAAAGCATCTGCTCCCAAGCGTGGCACATGGTAAATGCTGGACAAACACTGGCTTTCCTTCTTCCTGCTTCTTTTCTCCAACCGAATAGACCCTAATTTATCCAGCCCATGGCATCAGTGGTTTGCTGTGAGCATGATTTACTTCTACACACCACCTCCCACTTAAACATACCCCTGACTCCCTTTATTCATGCCCTCTAATAGCCAAGTTATACCAGGATCAGATGGTATCCCTATTACTAACGGCCGTGGAATCCAATGATCCAGAGAAGATGGAATCAGCCTTTCAAGTGTTCGCTGATGTGTTCCAGGAATGTGAGTAGGAAACAAGCCTGGTCCTAGGGATCTTCTTGCTCAGGAAATATCCTTGCTCTGGCAGACAGTCCCATTTAGTAGTTAAAAGCACAGATTTATTTTTTTTAATTAAATCTTTATTGTTCAGATTATTACATTGGTTCCTCTTTTTTCCCATCATAAAAAAGCACAGCTTTAAACTCAACATAAACTCAATGGGTTCAAATCCTGATTTTGACTCTTAATAGCTGTGCAAACTGGGGCAGATTACTTTTAGTCTGAACCTTTATTTCCTCATTTGAAAAATGGAGTTGCCTTGTCTGGGTGGCTCAGTTTGGTGACTGTCATTCTATACACCACAAGATTGTGGGTTCAATTCCCGGTCAGGGCACATACCTATGTTGCTGTGTCGCTGGTGTGTTTTCAGATCAGGGGCATATGGGAAGTGATTGATCAATGTTTCTCTCTCAAATTGATCTCTCTCTCTCTCTCTCTCTCTCTCTCTCTCTCTCTCTCTCCCCCCCCCCTTTCAATAAAATAAAAACAACATATCCTTTGGGTGAGGATTATAAAAACTAAAAATGTAGGTAACATCAATTCCTACCTTTAGCCATTTTTAGTGAGAATTAAAGGACAAAACATCTTGGATTGTAGGTTTTAACTTCAATCAAGTGTCCATCAAAACATTGCTGTGTGATTAACAGTACGAAGCACAGAAAATACACACATAAATAAGACATGGTCCTTGTTCTGAGGAGCTCAGTCAAGTAGGGAAGATGAGACTGTTCACACAGCAAAAGGATACAGGATAATAGGTGATAAGTTACGTAAATGTGATGGCAATGGGCAACAGGAAGGGAGAAGGTGTCAGTCAAGAGATGGGACAGACTCTGTGTAGGAGCTGTGCTGAGAGTAGAAAGGAGACTGAGTCAGCAAAAGGAGTTCACACAGAAGAGCAGTGCTGGCAGTTCTAAAGGTTGAGATAGGCAGAGGGTGAGCAGAACAGCTCCGCCAATGAGGTAGACTTGTGTGGTCAGCTGTGGGAGTCTGGTAAGGGCTGAGGCTCAAGCGCTAGCTTGCTGAAATACTGTTTTAGGTCACTTTTAGTCTGGTTTGAAGCAGAGGGGTGGTGGAGATAGCCTCTTGGGTTTGATCTGGCCTTGAAGAGCAGGACTGTATCTAAAATTTCTCCTGGCTGTCTGTCTTCTCATGCCTCCCAAAGCAACAAAGGGGGAGGAAGGAGACTGACCGCTCCGCATGTCTGTCTTTCCTCTAGTGCCTCAGACCAAGAAGCTGCAGCGCATGGTACTGAATTCAACCATTCTGGTGATTCAGGAGGACCTCAAACCAGTGAGCAGAGTGGCAGAATGTTGGGGCTGGGAGGGCAGTTGCTGTTTTGAGAACTTGAGGTGTGGTAAGATGGAGAGGGGGAGGTTTGGGGGAATGAAGAGAGAGGTAAGGCCCCCTTGCCAATCTAGTTCTGGCCTCAGACTTCTGCCCATGGGTTACATTTGGGCTTGTCAAAACCTGAGAAAGGTTTGAGAAGTGAACAGGTGGTTGCTTCCTATTTTCTGAGCCTTTTCTGTGGGCAATACTGTGGTGAGCCCAGTAGGGACATGGAGCTCTGAAAGATATTAATTTTTCCCCCAGAGAATCCACAGTTTGGTTAGGGAGAGAAGTCCTGAAACATCACATCTTGCATGTGGTCTCAGAAGATATATATATATATATATATGTATATATATATACTTTATATATCTATATCTATATATATATATATGTAAATTCTTTCTTTAAAATTTTTATTCAATTACAGTTGATATACAATATTATATTAGTTTCACGTGTACATCCTAGGGATTAGACATTTATTTATATAACTTATGAAGTGATCACCCCAATAAATCTAGTATACACCCAGCATAGTTATTACAAAATTATTGACTATGTTCCCTATGCTGTACTTTACATCCCATGACTATTGTATAATTACCAGTTTGTACTTCTTAATTCCTTCACCTTTTCATCCATCCACCCACTCCCCTCCCATTTGCCAACTATCAAAATGTTTTCTGTGTCTATGAGTCTGTCTCAGTTCTGCTTGTTCATTTATTTTGTTTTTTATATTCCACAACTAAGTGAAATCATATTGCATTTGTCTTTATCTGTTTGACTTATTTCACTCAGTACAACACCCTCTAGCTCTATCCATGCTGCCAATGGCCAGATTTCATTCTTTTTAAGGGTTGAGTCATATTCCATTGTATATATGTACCACTTCTTCTTTACCCATTCCTCTATTGATGGATACATAGGTTGTTTCCAGATCTTGGCTATTATAAATAATGCTGCAAGAAACATATGGATGTATATGTCTTTTCAATTTAGCGTTTTGGGTTTCTTGAGATATATATCCAAAAGTGAAATTGCTGGGTCCTCCTTTGGCTCTCCGTATAGTCTTTGTTTTAAAGTCTATTTAGTCTGATGTAAGTATTGGTACTCCAGCTATTTTTGTTTTGTTACCATTTTCATGAAATACCTTTAGCCATCCCTTTATTTTCAGTCTGTGTATGTGTCTTTTGACATGAAGTGACTCTCTTGCAAATGGAAGCATCTTGTGTTCTTATCCATTCAATCATCCTATCTCATGATTGGAGAACTTTATTCATTTGCATTTAAAGTAATTGTTGATAGATATGTACTTACTGCCATTTAATTATTCATATTTTTTTCTTTTTCTTTTTTTTTATTTTTTATTATTGCTTAAAGCATTACAAAGGGTATTACATATGTGTCCTTTTTTTTCCCCCCGCCCTTGACAATACCCCGGCTTCCCCTACCCCCAGTGTCTTATGTCCATTGGTTATGCTCATATGCATGCATACAAGCCCTTCAGTTGATCTCTTAACCCCCTCCCTCCTGCCCCCCAACCCTCCCCGGCCTTCCCGCTGCAGTTTGACAATCTGTGTGAGGCAGCTCTGCCTCTGTATCTATTATTGTTCAAAAGTTTATAATGGTCTCTATTATCCATGAATGTGTGAGATCATGTGGTATTTTTCCTTCATTGACTGGCTTATTTCACTTAGCATAATGCTCTCCAGTTCCATCCATGCCGTTGCAAATGGTAAGAGTTCCTTCTTTTTTACAGCAGCATAGTATTCCATCGTGTAGATATACCACAGTTTTCTAATCCATTCATCTACTGATGGGCATTTAGGCTGTTTCCAGATCTTAGCTATGGTGAATTGTGCTGCTATGAACATCGGGGTGCATATATCCTTTCTGATTGGTGTTTCTGGTTTCTTGGGATAAATTCCTAGAAGTGGGATCACCGGGTCAAATGGGAGTTCCATTTCCAGTTTTTTGAGGAAACTCCATACTGTCTTCCATAGTGGTTGCACCAGTCTACATTCCCACCAGCAGTGCACAAGTGTTCCTTTTTCTCCACATCCTCTCCAGCACTTGTTGTTTGTTGATTTGTTGATGATAGCCAGTCTGACAGGTGTGAGATGGCACCTCATTGTTGTTTTGATTTGCATTTCTCGGATGATTAGTGACTTTGGAAAACATATTTGCCAACGTCATATCTGATAAGGGCCTAATCTCCAAAATTTATAGGGAACTCTTACAACTTAAGAAAAAGAAGATAAACAATCCAATCAAAAAATGGGCAAAGGATCTAAATAGACACCTTTCCAAAGAGGACATTCAGAAAGCCAAGAGACATATGAAAACATGCTCAAAGTCACTAATTATTCATATTTTTGTTATTCTTTTCTTCTTCCCCTTAAAGAAGTCCCTTTAACATTTCTTGTAATATTAGTTTGGTGTTGATGAACTCCTTTAGCTTTTCTTGTCTTGGAAGCCTTATCTCTTCTTGGGTTCTAAAGGACAGCCTTGCTGGTTAGAGTGATTTTGGTTGTAGGTCTTTGCTTTTCATTACTTTGAATATATCTGGCCAGCAAAGTTCCTGTTGAGAAATCATCTGGGAGCTCCCTTGTAGGTAACTAACTGTTTTTCTCTTGCTGCTTTTAAGATTCTCTCTTTGTCTTGAACATTCTGCATTTAATTATGATGTGTTTTAGTGTGGGCCTCTTCGGGTTCATCGTGTTTGGGACTCTCTGCACTTCCTAAACTTGTATGTCTATTTCCTTTACCAGGTGAGGGAAGATATCTGTCATTATTTTTTTCAAATAAGTTTTCAATTCCTTCCTATTTCTCTTTTCCTTCTGGCACCTGATGATACGAATATTTGTATGCATGATATTGTCCCAGATGCCCCCAAACTATCCTCATTTTTTTGGGTCCTTTTTTTTTTTGCTGTTCTAATTAGGTGTTTTCTGCTACCTTATCTTTCAAATTGCTGACTCAATATTTTGTGAGAAACCATATTTTTTAAAAAGCTCTTCAGACAGGGCTGGAGACAGCAGAGACTGCTTCTGCTTCAGTTCTGGATCACACAGAATAGGGGAACAGGAGAAGAGGGGAGCAGTGGTTTGGGGTACCAAATGCATAGCATCATCCCTAAAAATACATCCTCAGAAGGTTAATAGAAAGCTTGGAATCTTGAGGGATGGGCCCTTAGGACTTGTGGGATTTGTTCCTGGCTTTCCCTAGGAAGGCCAGACCATGGGACTTTCCTGGACTCAGATTCTCCCCTAATCCCACACTCCTGCTAATTTTCATACCTCTGGGGAAATAAGGTGAGGGCAAGGTAAGTACTAGAGTTCTCCAGGGAGGTGGTGGGAGCTGAAGCGGTTAGAACTTCAGGGCAAAGTACAGAAGTGGTCAGGGTTAGTGGCTTGTGGTCTGTCATTATTGAGAGCCCACTGTAGAGTCTCACTGGGTTTGGTGTCAGGAGATCTGATCCCCTCACCTGCCTTGGTCCTCTGTGTCCTCACCTGGATTATGGAGGGTCACACTGGGCAGTCCCTGACATCCCTTTCTGTCTTGTCATGTGATGGTCTGTGACTCCACAGGTGCCGAAGGTCCTCGTGCACTTCATTGAGATGCTGGGTCAGCATAACTACTTGGCCTTGCCCCAGGGGAACGCTCTAATCAGCTATATCATCAAGCTTGTGGAGACTGACTCATCAGTGAGCAAGGGACTGGGCAGGGAGGGGACCGAGGATGGGAGTACACCTCAGGGGATGGAACAAGAGGAAGGCAGGGTTGGGAGCAGGAGGGAAACAGGAGCATATGCCTGGCACATGTGAAGGGTTTTTGGCCTGTAAAACCCTAAGCAGTGAGCCAGGGAAGGCTGTGAACCCAGAGACTTAGCTAGCATTGGTTTTAGATTTAAATCTTTCCTTTTCTTATCCTAGAATGAAGAGGACATCCGAATAATGTGTTCCAGAATCCTACAGATGGTATAAATAGCTAGGGCCAAACAGGCCTCTCCATTTCCTCCTCCCCTGGCTCCCCAGATCAATACCCTGACCCTGGCCCCACCCCCAACTACCTCACACTTTCCCCTTCCATCAAATGCCTTGTGGTGTCTCTGTCCCCTCAACCCACCTGCATTTCATTCCCTACAAGTGCCTGGGGTTCCACTGAGAAGTGCTCAGTGCAGCAAAAGAGGGTCTCTGGGTGTGGATCTGGAAGCCAGAGTCTGAGTCCTGATCAGCCAGTTTTCTAGCTGTAAAATCTTGAATAACTTGTTCTCCCAGCTGCAGTGTCTTCTTTTTTTAAAAAGGGGGTGGTTATATTTCCTGACTGTTCTCAGCAACCTCCAGGGATTCTGGGAGGCTCATATGAACTGATTTGCATCAGAGCTGAGGAGAGGGCTGTGTTGTGGGAGGAAAAGGACTTAAGATTCACTCTCCCTCCCAGTGAGCTCTGCCTCCTGACCTTCAGCATGTCTCTGACTCTGGAAGGTTCCTCAATGAAGGTGATTACAAGTCACACATTCCAAATTTCAAGAAGTCTTCATCTGTCAAGTCAACTTATGCCTGCTATAAGTTTAATCAGGACCTTGGTTATACTTTTCCAACATGCAGTGAGGGGTTGGTGGTGGGGGTGGGGGGGAGAGAGAGAAAGAAGAGGGAGAGAAGGGAGAGAATGGATATGAATGGGTTAAGGGGGATCTGTATACAGGCCTCAAATACTCGGTCCGGAAAGGGAGACAAGGTCTTGGGGTTGGAGACTGATGACGGGCTGACTTGGGGCTTGGCATTGAAATTCTTGCCACATCTCCTGCCAGGTATCTTTGCCCAAACTGGTCACATTGGTGTGTGAGTCCAACAACACCTTGGCCTTCATGCCTCTGTGTAAGGCAGCCACACAAATGGCTCTGAAGGCCCGTTCCCTGGGACAGGTTCCTTACCTCAGCAGCTTTCACCAGGATCGTAAGTACAATGGTGGGCAGGCTGTGGAGAGGTGCTCACTGTGAAATTAAGTCTGTTTGTGGGCATGGAGTGTTGTAGTTGGGGGCTGGCTGAGACACTGCAGGGGTGATGGGTGTGGGGAAGAGGATGAAGAGGATGCTGGAGATGGGGTTGTAGGTTCCATGCTTGGGCCATGATGGGAAAAGTAAGGCAACTACTTAAGGCCATTTGGCTTCATGAATGAAAAGGGGATGCCTCTCAAAGTCACAGTTCCTTCTTGCCTTCACTCCTCACTATAAAACACTTGATTCAAGATGTACAAACATTGTTAATTACAAAGTAATGAATACACACACTCCTGACCCATAGTTCTTCCTTTGCCCTAACTCTGAGCCTCACTCTGTGCTCACCCCATCCCTGACCTCTAACCCCAGTGGGACTTAGGGTTAGAGTTAGGATGTCTGTTCAGCATACCATTGGTGTGTGTGTGTGTTTTTTTTTTTTTTAAATCTTTATTGTTCAGATTATTACATTTGTTCCTCTTTTTTCCCCCCATAACTCCCCTCCTTCCAGCTCCCACCCCACCCTCCACCCTCACTCCCCACCCACTGAGTTCATCCATAGGTGCATGATTTTTGTCCAGTCACTTCCCGCATCTCCCACACCCCTTTTCCCCTAAGAATAGTCAGTCCATTCCCTTTCTATGTCCCTGATTCATTATAATCACCAGTTCATTCTGTACATCAGGTTATTTATTCACTTGATTCTTAGATTCATTTGTTGATAGATGCATATTTGTTGTTCCTAATTTGTATCTTTACCTTTTTCTTCTTCTTCCTCTTCTTAAAGGATACCTTTCAGCATTTCATATAATACTGGTTTGGCGGTGATGAACTCCTTTAGTTTTTCCTTATCTGTGAAGCTCTTTATCTGACCTTCAATTCTGAATGATAGCTTTGCTGGATAAAGTAATCTTGGTTGTAGGTTCTTGGTATTCAGCACTTTGAAAATTTCTTGCCATTCCCTTCTGGCCTGCAAAGTTTCTGTTGAGAAATCAGCTGACAGTCGTATGGGTATTCCCTTGTAGGTAATTGAGCCTCTTTCTCTTGCTGCTTTTAAGATTTTCTCTTTGTCTTTTGCTCTTGGCATTTTAATGATGATGTGTCTTGGTGTGGTCCTCTTTGGATTCCTTTTGTTTGGGGTTCTCTGCGCTTCTTGGACCTGTAAGTCCATTTCTTTCTCCAGGTGGGGGAAGTTTTCTGCCATTATTTCTTCAAATAGGTTTTCAATATCTTGCTGTCTCTCATCTTCTGGCACTCCAATAATTCTGATATTAGACCGCTTAAAGCTGTCCCAGAGGCTCCTTACACTATCTTCACACTTCGGATTCTTTTTTCATTTTGCTTTTCCAATTGGGTGTTTTTTGTCGAATCTTTGGTTTGATTCTTGTGCTCCTCTGGTCTGCTATTGGGTATAATATTCTTTATTTCAGTCCATGTATGCTTACTTTCTAATATCTTTATCGTAGCATCGAGGGTCTCATTAGTTTTCGTGAGGCTCTGCACAAATTTATGGCAAGCCCTCAAAATTGCGATTCTTAGCTCCATATCCTCCATTTCTGTCATGTTTTTTTGTCTCCGCATCTTATATGCTTTCTTGGTGCACCCCCTTGTGGTCTCTGTGCGCAGTCTTGTTCTAGCCAAGCCTTAATTGTTGTAGTTAACACTAGAGGGATTTGACCTCCAGGCCGACTGGCTGTAGGAATCAGCTGTGGAAAACGTCTGTCTTCTGGGGAGGCGCTATTCCAGCCCTTGCCTGAGGCGGTCGGCAAATGGCTGTGCGCAGGGCTTGGGCGGGGCGGGCTCAACAGGGCGGGGGGAGGGAGCCGCTATGACTGCTCTCTGTCCGTCCCCAGGGGCTCTGCCTCTCTGTCCCAACAACCGCTGCAAACCTCGGAGGGGCCGTAGCCAGACAGTCCCGCTTCTCCCGTTTGAGTCTGGGTCCCTAGAGACTCGCCCGGATCTGTAGCCCAGAGTCTGAGACTCGCTCCTGATTGAAAACGACAATCGCGCCCTCAGCCGCCAGCCCGCTTTGCGCACCCTCACCACCGCACCGCCGTACCTTTAAATTTTCCACACTGCGCCTCCGCTGAGCGTCGGAATGCTGTTGTTTTTGCTTCTAGTTGAAGAGACTCTCCTCAGCCAGCCTTCCCGTGGTTCTGGTTGATGTCCGCTCCGACTTTTAGTTGTATTTTTGAAGTGGTTGTCCACGGCGGCAGTCTCCGGTGTTTACCTATGCCGCCATCTTCGATTCCCTCGTGTGTGTGTTTTTTAAAGGCTGAAGATGTAATGGTTTGTGTTTTAGTCTGAATCAAAATGTCACAGCTCCCGTAGCATTGACACTGATGTTCCCTCTCCTCTTTGCTCTTTCTCCTCGTCTAAAGTACTGATGGGGAGCTTCCAGTGGAGGCTGGGGGTTGAGCATCCTGAAGTGTGCACTGACTCTGTCCTCTTCTTTTATCCTCTCTCTAACTTAGCTATCGAATACATTTCCCCTCAGAGACTCCTGACCCATCTTGTGGTAAGTGATGCCAGAATGAGTACTACAGTCATATATTCTTCCATCCACTCATCAACCCATCCATCCATCCACTCATTTCACAAAGAGCTGGTTACTACTTTGTCTCAGGCATTATGCTGGGTATGGAATAATGAGATAGGGGCCAAAGAGCATGGAGGAGGGACCTGGGAGCATAGTGGTGAGGCCTCGAGATGAGGATGTGGGCAATGGGAAAGGCTTGCCTTTCTCCTATGTGGCCTTATTGTGAGCTGCTCTCTGTTGACCGTGGACAAGCCCACATACCTTTCTGGATCTCTGTTTTGAGTTTCTCTATTAGCCCAGACATTATGTGCTAGAAATATGCACACTTGGAATGACAAAGGTAGACCTACCCTTGAGGTGTTCACAGACTTAGTGGGGTAGACAAGTGTGGGAATAGCTATCTATAGTCTAGTGTGACACATGTACTAATAGATGAATACATAAGGTGCAACGGGACTTAGAAGAACAACAGGCTCACATGGTCTCCAGGAGGCAGGAAGGCATCACAGAAGAGGTGATGTTTCCAGAGCATCTGGGAGGATGTAGGAGTTCAACAGGTGGCAAAGAATGGGCAGGGCCTAAGCTCCAGCTCTACCATTCTATGGATTTGATTTCATTTTCTTTCTTCTCTTCTTTTAAATATTTTCTCTGCCTCCTGCTTGCTTCTCAGATGTGTTCCCGGAAGCCCTACAGGGAAAAGGAGTTTGGTACAAGCTCTCTGAGGCTACTATCTGCCCTGCATCCTATCACTTCTCTGCATCCTGTTATAAACCACAGTGTTGGCCAGCTGTGGAGGAAGGTGATCCCACAGATGTTGGAGATACTAGATGGTAAGGGCTTGGTTAGCAGGGGGAGGAATGAAGCTGGGACAGTGGCCAGACTCCAAAAGAGATGGCGTCCCCAGGTGCAGGATGGACCTTCCTTGGGGTGAGGAGAACTGGCACCAGTCTCTCTGTCCCTTTGAGGTGCTATTGGATGGGTCTGCTTTTGGGGGCAATGTTGTGAACTGAGCAGAAACACAGTCCAAAGTTCTGTGGCTCCAGGGTTCCCAGAATGACTCCTGCACTTTTTATGGGCAGAAGATCAGGGAAGAGTGTGGGCTTTGGAAACAGACAGACCAGTTTTGTATCCTTGCTCTGACACTGGTCAGCTGTGTGTATTTGACCTTTGGAAAGTCATTCATCTTCTGGAGGTTCTGGAAAGTGGGAGAGCAGTTACCTTGTAGGCTGAGTGCCGCATAGTACTTAAATGTTTTCTTCTCCCTGGCTGGGACCTTCCGGTTGAGTGGGTCCCCATGCTCTCTCCTTTCCTAGATCATACTGAGAAGAGCCTGAATCAGGAGGAGTGGGAGGACAGGCTGTTCCGGGTAAGCACTCCCCAAGACCTCCCTCCCTCCACACTTGCCTTCATTCCCATCTTCAGGATCCTGAGTGAGGATAGCCCCAAGCCCCCCAGAGACTGAGGTCATGATTAAGGGCCTAACTGCTCAAACAAACCTCTTTCTGTGGTCCCCTTGCCTCCTGGCCTCTGCCTCAGAGTATCTGACTATGTGCTGTCTTGAGCCCCCTTCCATACCCTTACAACCCTATATCAAGGGGGAGTAAGGGAAAGGGCCCTAGCTGTATGTCCTTGGGCAAGGTATTTAGCCTTTGCATGTCTCAGGTTCTTCATGGGTTAAATGGAAGTAACTCCTGCCTCCCAGAATTAAAAAGGATGATATCAGAGAGGACCTTGTAAATTGGAAAGGGCTTCACACATGTAATTGGCATTACCATCATTGTCACTGTAATATCATTCTTCAGTCCTAACTCCCACCATGTGTTTCACCTCTTTATCCATATTTACAGGCCATAACCCCTGTCTCTTGCTTCTTCTTGACCCCACTTTTGTGGGGCAGAACAGCCTACCACTGACCTTTGTGGTCCTCTTCTCCCTTCTTCTTCCTCAGTTTTTGAGTCAGTCATTAGTGGCTATTGATGATGACTGCTGGCAGGAGCAACTCATCAGAGTCATCTTGGAGAGGATCCGTTATTTCAGTGATGATGGTGATGAGAAGGTTTGTCTGGGTGTGTGGTGGTTGCAATGTGGGGGCGGGGGGAGTGCGTTGAAGGTGGAGGATGGTGCTGAAGAAACCTGGTGCTCACACAGGTGGCTGAGGAAATGTGAATGAGTAAAGGCCTTGGGGAAAGAACAAACCAGTGTTCCTGCATCGTGGCAATCAAGGGGTGGAGAGGACCACAAACTGGTCGTCACACTGGCATGACAAAAATATCAAGAGTGTCTTACTTTTGCTTAGCCTTTTAGGCTTTATCAAGAACTTTGCAATCTATTGTCTTCATTGAAACCTCCTGATAGTCTTAATAGAATGGAGCTTATACTTGGTGCAGTGGAAAGATTGTTGATTTTAGAGTCCTATTTAAGCAGTCAATTGAAGTAATATTTGAGGGCATCCCATAGACCAGTGATGGCGAACCTTTTGTGGTCAGCGTGTCAGCGTCTTATAAAACCCTGATATTTGCAACCATAGTAAAACAAAGTCTTATATTTTCGATATTTATTTTATATATTTAAATGCCATTTAACAAAGAAAAATCAACCAAAAAAATGAGTTCACTTGTCACCTCTGATGTGCCTGTCATAGGTTCGCCATCATTGCCATAGACTGTACTTCATGTTGGGGATACAGAGTTGAGGAAGAAATATGGGCTCCTTTCCTCACAGAGTGCAAGGTTGATGGTAGTGACGGCCTGGGGTCCTGCCCTGGCTTTTCCATGTGCTCCCAATTTAGTCTTAATAAAGTGTCAACAGTAAAGATTTTTAAAATATTAGCCTAAATAACCTATAGCTGTTGTCATCCCTACCCTGAAGCTTAAGAAACACAATCCAGGAGGATTTAAAATTTTAAGAAAATAATTGGTAAAACTGGCACCTGAATCCAAGTTTTTTCCTTCCTTCCTTCCTTCCTTCCTTCCTTCCTCCCTCACCTGAGGATATTTTCCCATTGTGGAAGAGAGACAGAAAGACAGAAATATCTAGGTGAGAGAAACACATCAATTGGTTGCCTCCTGCATATGCCCTGACTAGAGACCAGGCCAGGGGGGAGCCTGCAACCGAGATATGTGCCCTTAACTGAAATTGAACCCAGAACCGTTCAGTCCGCAGGCCAACACTCTATCCACTGAGCCAAACTGGCTAGGGCCTGAATCCAGGTTTCTTGATTTTGATTCCTGTTTTCCTGTCACCGAGAAATACTTTATTTGAGCTCTGGAGGTTTCCAGGAAAGAGGCCTTATTTCCAAGACCGTTTGCTCTCTCATTATTAACAGTACTTACGAAACACCTAATGTATGCACATCTTTGTGGTTGGTAGATTAGGGACACAAAATGAAGCAAGCGTGAATTGTGATCTTTTTAATTCAGTTATTTAAAAGGTGCACTAGCCCTAGCCGGTTTGGCTCAGTGAATAGAGCATTGGCCTGTAGACCGAAGGGTTCCGGGTTCGATTCCAGTCAAGGCCACATACCTTGGTGGCAGACTCCACTCTTTCTTGGGCCCTGGTCAGGGCGTGTGCAGGAGGCAACAATTGAGCTGTCTCTCTCACATCGATATCTCTCCCTGTCTTTCCCTCTCTCTTCCACTCTCTCTAAAAAAAAAAATGAATGGAAAAATATCCTTGGATGAGGATTAAAAAAGAGGTGCACTAAATGCCTAGAGCAGAGCAGACACTGGGCTGGGCTCAAGGTATTCATGTAAACACAGCCTCTGCCGTCAGGAAAGCATCATCTGCTTGAGTGCATAGACAAGAAAGTGGGCAATTATTCTAAGCCTTGTAGGTGTCAGGGTGGAAATATGCACTGTGTGCTTGGGAGCAGGGAGGGGACCTGAGGGGGCTGGGCAGAGAAGCTTTGTCAGAGGCGATCCGCTGTTTAGGTTTGCTCAAGACTGTTTTGATGTTGTTAGTGCTGATCAGTGTCCGGGGAACCGCCTCAGTCCTGGGCAAAATGGGAAGACAAGTCTCCTGCAGAGGAGTGGATAAGTCTGGGAAGATGAGTAGTCTTTGCCAGTGAAGCAGAAAAGTAGGTGCCTTAGGTCAGGTTTAATTGATGCAGAGCCTAAGGTGAGGATTCTTGTCAAGTGACTTGGCGAGGAAATGCTCTCAGGAGAACTTGTGATAGAGTGAAGGGCACAGGATAGGGGAGAGGAGAAGCCAAGCCAGGATGTGGCCTGATCCCATGGGAGCCCTGCATGGAAACTGCAGAGTCTATCCTGCCTGGAGACAAGTGAGGGAGCTTTTGTACCCTCTGCCCCCAGGTTGTTTGTCATTGGCTCCAGGTTTCCAAGGTTGGTCCTGTGCAGGGAGGGGAGAGAGAACAATGTAGCGCCTGAGCATCTGGGGTAAGGAGGCCCCAGTCACCTCAGGACAGTTCTCCCCCAAGGCTGCAGGGAGTAGCTGTTCAGAAAAGTTCCTGCAGCCAGTTGAAGGGAAGGAACCCTAAGGTCTGGGCAAGGCACCATGAGCATCTGCTAGAGGGGAAAAGATACCCATAAGAGGGGGAGTTAAGGCATTCATTGAACAGCCGGAATGTCCTGTTTGCCTACTGCCTCAGGCACTGATAGCAATGGGGCAGAGTAATGAACTGGGTAGACACTGCTCTTGAGCTCCATTCTCACCTGAGATGTGGGGTTGGTGCAAGTTGGGAACTAACGGAACAAATCCACAGTCAATATGAGTGATTATGATGAAGCCCTGAAAGAAGGAAACGGTGATGAGCTGGAGAGGGACTTCGGAGGTCAGAGCAGGCTCACTGAGGTGATATCTGAAAGATGAGAATGAGACATTTGTAAAAATATATATTTTATTGATTTTTTACAGAGAGGAAGGGAGAGGGATAGAGAATTAGAAACATCGATGAGAGAGAAACATCGATCAGCTGCCTCCTGCACACTCCCTGCTGGGGATGTGCCTGCAACCAAGGTACATGCCCTGACCGGAATCGAACCTGGGACCCTTGAGTCGCAGGCGGACGCTCTATCCACTGAGCCAAACCGGTTTGGGCAAGAGAATGAGACATTTTGAAGAGCCTGGGGTAAAGGGTTCTACACAGAGAAAATGGGGAGTACAGAGACCCTGAAGAAGGGAGTGGTGAGTCCACACAGTCTGGTATTATCCAGTAAGCAAGGATAAAGGCCACTGAAATTCAGAGGAGGGAGAAAGAATTACATAAAAGTACTTCTTCAATTATACAATTTTGGTTTTAAAATTATGCAAGTTTAAGGAACTTTTTTTATTTCCTAGCTGTAAGTGGGAGGTATGGGGGTTAGAGAAAGTTCCTAAAGGATGATCCCTAAGAGGCTGAGACATTGGAAAGGCAGCTTTCTCTTCCCTGTAACTTGAACCCCTGCTCTATAGGATCACTGCCTTATCCAGATGCCTCTAGAGAGCAAGGGCCAGGGTGGAGGATGGGGCTGTGGGCAAAGGTGGTGGCTAGTATAGGAAATGCTGCCCTACCCTCATTTCAAGCTATGCGTGACCCTGCCCTCCTACCTTTCCTAGGCTTTTCTCTATAAATTCTTTGGCTTCGCCCTGTGGACCTCAAGAAGTGAGAAACTGGTGAAGATGATGCTCTCCGCCATCCTTCAAACTTCCCATGAAAACGTGCAGGAGAGGGAGGTGAGGCAGAGTGCATTGGCCAAGCATTTTCAGGTTGAGTCAGGATGGCAAGGTGGCTAAAATCTTGGGCCTGGCAAACCAGCGCACCTGGGTGAGAGTTCCAGCTCTGCCACCTACTCTCTTTGTGCCCTTGAGCAAGTTACCGAACCTCTCTGTGCCTCAGTTTCCTCCTCGTTAAGACAAGGCTATGGTACCTTCCTGATAGGATATTTCTTTAAAAGATTTATTGAATTTTAAGTAATTTTATATTTAGAGGAAAGTTGCAAAAAAATCCCAAAGAATTTCTATTTATTCTCCCAGATTCCCAAAATATAAATGTTTTTCCATGTTTGCTTTATCATTCTCTTTCTCATAACTTACATAATTTATTTACTAACATTATTACTGTGTTTTTTAAATCTGAAATGAAAGCTGCAGTCTGAAGCTCATTTACCCCTAAATATTTTACTGTCTACTAGCTAAAAATAAAGATATTCTCTTACATAAGCACAGTGCAATGATCAAAATCAGGAAATTAACATTGCTACACTACTGATATATAAATTATAGATCCAGTTTGAAAATCATCAATTGTCCCAACAATGTGTTTTAGAGAAAATGAAAAATATTCTTTTTTTAATTTTTTTTACTCCAGGGTCTAATTCAGAATCAAGCCGTGCATTCAGTTGTCATTTCTCTTTATTCTTCTTTAATCTGGAACAAGTTCCTCATCTTTATCTTTCATGGCCTGGACATTTAAAAAAATGCACAGACCCCTTATTTTGTACAATGTCTCTCGGTTTTGGTTTGTCTCATATTTCGTCATGATTAGATTCAGAGTGTGCATTGTTGGTGGAATACCACAGAAGTAATGTGTGTTGTAGGATGGCATTAAAATGTAAAACCACTAAGAGCAATGCTGGTACATAAGCACTCTCTACTTGCTGATTACTGGTAGTGCTGGTGTTCATGCCCTAGGACCTCCCTCTCCAAGGCCCTTCTCCTGCCAGATTCTCAGCACATCCATCAGCTCCACGATCAGCAACAGGTATTTACTAAGCCTGAGTTGCAAACAGTATCAATGAGGAGAAAGACATATACAGGAAGGAAACAGCTAACTATACTCAATGGCCTTCTAAAGGCTACATGAGCAGTCATTGTGGCATTGAGGCTTGCTAGGACTTGGGTTGGTTGGGGCGAGTTTAGGAGAAGGAGGGAGGCAGGTATTCCCAGTTGACATAACATTCTGAGTCAAGATTCAGGATCAAGACTTTGGGGAGCACATCTAGGGAACAGTCAATGTTCTAGTGGGACTGGAGTGCAGTGTTCTTTGACAAGGAAGTAAAAGTGACCTCTTGCTAGCACTTGGGAACAGATTGAATGCAGAAGATAAAGATAAGAGAAAAAAGGGCATCTGGGATGATTCTTGGGTTTCTGGCCCAAGTGGGAGGAGAATGGTATCCTTCCCTAAGACCAGGAACCCAGGACAAAGGGGGAGGAAGTAGATGTACTTAGTTTTTGACTGGGAGGGGTTGCAGTGTCAGGTGGACATGCACAGAAGCATGTAGACCTGGAACTCAAACCTGGGCTTCGTGTCTAGATTTGGGAAACATATTTTCCCTGACTGTTAAATGGGGACGACAATATTTACCTCAATGCATTAGTGAGGATTAATCAAGTAACATGTATAAGGCTGGTAAACATTAAGCACTGATGTTCTGATGATGTCAGTTATGATGATGATATATGATGATGATGACCAGAAGGAGTGGTAGCCATGGCTAAGGGAGGACATAAGAAGAGGGACAGAATAGAACCCCCTTCTGATGCTCCACTAGCCCCTCTTTTCTAAAGAGGTAAAAATTTCCCTTTATCTACCTGATATCCAATGGTCTACAAGTCCCACTAAAGTTTCATCCCTCTCCATGATCTGTGTGCTGGAGCCTGTCACTGTCCCGAGGCTCCCTCCATCTGTCTGCTCTTGCTGCAAAGTCTGAATGGTGGCCCTTCCAGCACAAATGAGCCAATTTGCCAACAGCTGGCACCTGAATGTCTGCTTGAGCATTTTCTTAGCTCTGTGCCCAGTCATCCTTGTTCAGTAAGCTCTAGGGAGGGACTCAGCTGACACTGAAGTCAAAAGGGCCTGCTATGAGGCTGAGGGGTTAAGTTAAAGACTGTTCCTGGCAGGAACCACAGAATCCCCAAGTCTTCATGCTTTTGACTCTCTCTAGGGTGTGATTCCCAAACCCACTGGCACTGACAACATTACCACTGAGTTGTTTTGCCATGATCTCCCATACAACACATTCAGAAACTCACTGTTTTCTCTCTCTCTCCAACTTAGGCCTCTTTTTCACCTGCCTGTTTTGGTCAGAGTTACTGATGTTTCCTGTTCTCCTAAACTAGAAATATTGGCATTCTCTGCAAGTCTTCCTGTCTTCCATCTCCTCTCTGACTAGCTATCCAATCCTGTCAGCAAGGTGCCTGGGATTTGTTCTTCCTTCTGTTCCCTCCTCAGAGCAACCATTCTCTGAATTCCTAGTGCCTATAAAAGTATTCTGAAATGTACAGGGTTAGGTTTGACAATACCAAGATTTTGTAAATCTGTGACTATGATTTTTCTTAATAATTGACTTCTTAAATTACTTCTCGCAAAGATATTTGGTTCTCCACACGGATTTTAAATAATTCAAATGTGGAGAACCAAATTCCCTTCCATTTCTTTCCTCTCCTTTTCCTTCCCCTTCCTCTATGTATATCCTGCTTGTGGGGGAACATAGCATGTGTCTGGTTCACCCTGAACTGTGGCATGGGGTTGAGGCTCTCTTTGTTACAGGGCATTGCTGTGGCATTCAGCGTCGTGTCCAGGAAACATCTGAGGACAGTCCTGGAGCAACTGCAAGTGTATAGTGCTGTACTCACTGACAAGGAGTCATCGTCCATCCTCACACTGGCAAAGGTGATGTCATTCCCAGGGTGCTCTACCAGCCTCCCATACAAAGCCTTCCAAGGCATCCCCATCACCCCAGCCTCCCATTTCTCTGAGGCCTTGTGACTCATCTATAAAAGCTTCTCTTTCCCTTGAAACAACTGTGGGAAAGTTTCATCCTCCATCCCTTTCTATTGCCCTGCATTTCAGGCCCTGGTATCGCCAGCTACATGCCCACCCTGTCCCCCAAGCTGCTCGCCATCCCACAGTCCCATCTTCTTTCCCAAATCCTCTGAGCAACCTTTTCCTCTCTGAACCTCTGTTTCCCCCTCCCCCTACAGGAACATCAGCCAAGGGAATGGGTGCTTGTGTGTCACACCATCTACCTAAGCTATAGCAAGATTATTTTAGAGAGCAAGGGAGATATTTTCATGCATTTCGATGCCGTACTGGTCTTGATCCTGCAACACTACCACAACTGCATTTTGGAAAAGGTACTTCCTGCTTACTCTACTCCAGCATTCCATTTCTGCCACGTCCTCTCTTACCGCCCAAGAAAAAGGTGCTTGGCCTTAAATGGGAGTCAGGGGCTAGTACAGTGACTTCTCCCACATTTTCATCCTTTCACTTAACCCTGCTACTTGGAGACTCTAATTGGCCCAAGGAGGAGACCACAGTAACTTTAGGTCTGTTTCAAAGTGTGTCCTTCCCTGTGACAGAGCTTCGTAACCTGCCAGTGAGCTCTTCACTGCCCTCTCTGATGAAGGGATGAGTAAAACCTAAATTCCCTAGTGTTTGTAGGAAGAAGCATTCAGGAGAGGCAGAGGAGCTCCATACTGCTTTCCTGCCTTTGCTATGTGTCCAAAGCGTGGGTCCCCAGGGTTGGAGAAGAATCCCTTTCCATTCCCAAGTCAGATATCTTTTGGTAAAACGTGTTCAAGGGAAAGACAATACCTTGAGAGACCGGGAAGCTTGATCTATCCTAATTTCAGAGTCACATGAGGGTGGCTTCAGAAGGGGGTTGGTGAGAGGAGTGACTCTCTCCACCGCAGGGATGCACTGGTCTACCCTCAGAGGGAAGATGCAGAGCATCAGCCTAAGGAAGGCTAAAGAAGGCTTAGGTCCTCACCCCCCAGACTGTGTAGGTAGTGTGCCCTGGCCCAGATCCATTGCCACCTTGGAGAACCCTGAGCATACTGGTTCATTCAGGATAAGGACCTGAAGCTGGGTTACCTGAATGCCCTCATCATACTGACAAAAACCCTGGGCAGGCAGCAGCACGTGGCCTTTCAATTCAAGTTCCCCCACAAGCTAGCAATTGTTACCTTCATGCTGGTAAGTATCTTGCAGGAGGATGGAGGTGGGAATGCAGAGAGGAGGGAGGATGGGTCCACATGGAAACCATTGGTGGCACTCCTAGGCTAGAGCTGAAGGTAAAAGCCCAGATTTTCTAGTTTCCTTTTCCCGCCTTAGTGTTCCCTTTGCCATCCTCAAGGCTGGGGTGAGTACTGTAGGGAAGGTGTGGTGGGGAGTAGGAGAGAGGTGCTGTCCTCAGAGCCTTTGGAAGTCACTAAAAATTCTAAATTCCACCTTCTTATGAACACAGCCTGGAGTGGGAGGAGGCAGAAGCAAACAAGAAAAATATGTTCACCATCCTTTTGGGGTGTGTGTGTGTGTGTGTGTGTTAGGACCTAATCAAGGAGGAGCCATTGAACTCCATTTCCAGCCCTATTAGACAGAAGGCAATGAACGTCATCAGTAACTTCAGGTAACAACACACCATCCACTCTGTCTTCCTTGACCTGGTTCTATTGCAGCTCTTTCTTCCCTAGTTGATCCCCACCTCTTATTTTCTGCTTCTGCTTCTAGCATAAGGGAATAGTAGGAATTTACTGGCCAATATCTGCCACTTCTTTTGGCCAAGATTTTTTGAATTGGATTTTCAAAGGACCCAGGAGAGATGGCCTCTCCTATCTCTATAGGCACTTGCTGTTAATTCTGCCCCAGGCATCCTTTTGCTTTCAGCCCTGTCCCTGATAGGCACCTCCATCTCCATCAGTGATGTCCCGTTCCCTCAAAAGCTCTGGGAATCTAACAAGGAATAATATATCATCCCAAATTAGCAGTACCCTTTCCTGTAATAGTCATGCCTCCTCTCTTTCCTATAGTTCGTTTCTTTCCATCTTCCTGGCTCTTTTCACCATTTCTTACTGTTACTCCCTTTCTTTTAATATCCTTTCTTCTGATATCTTCCTCTTTCTTGCTCCCACTTATTCCTCTGTTTCCATCTTCTCTTTCTATACCCTTTTCTGTTGTTATTCCTGACAACACTGGTTACACTTCTTCTCCCTGGATCTTAGGATGTTCAGGCCCCTCTTAGGGATAGAAGAAAGAGTAGAGCTCCTGGGAACATGCTTCAAGAGTGTGTTCTGTCTGCCATCCATTGAAGTGTTACGAAAGGAGGCATCTAGTCCCAAGGAGGGCCAGGCCAATGTGGTAAGTAACTCTTTGATGTTTGTCTCTTTGGCTTCATTTTTTATTTTTTTTAAGAGGTTAGGAAGTATAGGTTTGGCAGTTTTATGTAATAGTCTTCTGCCTTCTTTAATAAAAACACCAAATCATTGGAAGGAAGCCCTCCTGTGAAGAAGAGGTTGCTAGGTCATGTAGTCTGAACTCTACTCCTGAGATCTTCTACCCGTTGATTACCACTGCCACCACTTCAACACTCTGGCCCCAAGGCAGACACTTGATCCTCCCCTTTATAACTGCTGTGTGATTGAAATGAGACTAGAAGGTTCAAATATGATTTTAGTAACGGTTGATATGTACGTAAATCCAGGGAATCCCAGGAGCAAGCAATCAGAGTCTATTTCTTATAGGGCCTGCAGTGTTTCCTTGAGGAAGGAAAGAGGGATTCAATTTTTAATTTATATTCATATATTTAATGCCTAGGAATTCTTTCATGTGTTCTGATTACACCTTTATCTTGCCTGGTTGTTCTTGTTTTATTGATGCCATAGTCTCTTGAAATGTTTCTGAAGATATTAAAGAGAATTTAAAAATACAGGTTTCTATTATTTACCAAATTAGCTTGATTTTCTTTAAGGTCAGTTGGTTTGTTCATCTTGGGCCTCCTTTTCATCTGATTTCTGGTAATTCTTATTTTTTAGTTCATAGTTATGTCATGAAGGAAAGACTGGTACATATAGAAAAGGCAGAGGTGGGTTTTCTCTGGCCTCCCTCAGTGTAAATCTGATTTGGATAAGGAAGTTATTTTGACAGGATTTCCCTGTATTTGGAGCAAGCTGGGAGTTCCAGCTGCCCAGTACAAATAGCTTTACACCTAGGTAGGTTTCTTCTGAGTATTTTATTCCAGGGAGAGCTGGCTTTCTTTTTTCCCCCCTGCTTTTCAGTGTTAGTGGCTGGGATCTATCACAATGTTGCTCTGGTTCTCCCAGCAGGCCCTACGTTTAGAAGCCCTCCTTGGCAGATCACCTACTCTCTTTATAAGGCTTTGGGCAAGGCCACTTGGTTCATTAAAGGATGAGAGGGAGAAACCCACTGTCCTAGCTTTTGTGAATCAGTTACTCTGCAGACAGCCAGGCCAGTCCTCCTCCCACCGGGAGCCAGCTAGCCTGTCAGTCCTGGCTGCTTACTGAAGCTGTACCCCCTGGGACCAGAGTCCCAGATGAGCTAGAGTTAAGGAGTAGGGATGGAGGAGGCGGGGTAGCTACGTTGCAGGGGAACTTCCAGTTCACCAGGACAAACTACACACCAGGCAGACATTTGTGCTCTGGTGAAACAACAGAGGGATTTATTGAAGTGAATGATGGGCCAGTAGTGCTTTAATGTAGGGAAGTTTTTGGAGCAGGCTTTCTCAAGGAAGGCTGGGAGAGCCAGAATGCTGAGCAGTTTAGAAGGAGGGTTGGGGCTGATAGGTTGGCAATTTTTTGAGTTTCTTTTCCCCCTCAGGATCTGTTTGAGGGGACCATGCAATCCCTCCTAAGACTATTGGAGACACTTATTGTTGAGATGCCCACCCGGATCCAGAACTGCTTGCAGGTTCGTGGGAGGAAGCCCCTGAACGTTGGTGTATTTATTTCCTAGAACTGCCATAAATAAATACCGCAGGAAGTGACGTCAAACAACAGAAGTACATTCTCTCAAGTTGTAAAGGACAGAAGTCCAAAATCAAAGTTGTGGCTGGTTTGGTTCCTACTGGAGGCTCTGAAGGAGAATCTATTCTGTGCATCTCTCCTAGCTTCTGGTAACCCCTGGCAACCCATGGTATCTCTTGGTTTGTAGACATATCATTCCAATCTGTGCCTCCATTTATTTTTCACAGCGCATTCTTACGTGTGTGTGTGTGTGTGTGTGTTCTTTTTTTTAAAAAAATATGTTTTTATTGATTTCAGAGATGGAGGGAGATGGAGAGAGAGAGAGAAACATCAATGACGAGAGAGAATCAGTGATCGGATGCCTCTTGCACAACCCCCACTGAGGATTGGGCTCACAACCCGGACATGTGTCCTTGACTGGAATCCAACCCAGGACCCTTCGGTCTGCAGGCCACCCTCTATCAACTGAGCCAAACCCGCTAGGGCTCTTAATACGGACAGCAGTCATTAGGTTAGGACCCACAAATCCAGTATGAACTCACTTTAATTTGAATTATCTGCAAAGACCCTATTTTCAAACAAGGTCACATTCTGAGATTCTGAGTGGACATGAATTTTGGGGGACACTATCGACCTGGTACAGTTGGGAACTGACCAGGAGAACTGTCTAGGGACTGCTTATTTTCACAGTAAGAAAAACTAAGAAGTGGAACTGCTGATGAAGATTGGGTGCAAAGCTTTTAGGGAAATGGTAATAAGGTCTAGATCGAATAACTAATGTTGGTCTTGTCTTTAGAGGAGAAAGCTTCCTCCTTCTTCTCCTTCAGCCATAGCTGTGGCCAGCTTCTCTCTCAGCTGCCCACTGCTCCCGCATAGCAGTTAACAGTTAAAAACATCGGCTCTGGACTGCCATACACTATGGTTCCAGATTGTGGCTCTGCTGTTTGCTGTGTGGTCTTGGGAAGTTGTTTAACTTCTGTTTGCCTCAGTTTTCTCTTGGAAACTGGAATGACATATAGCACCTAGTTAATACAGTCATTTGGTAATCAAATGAGATGTTTACAAAGTGCTTGGCTCAGAGACGTGAGGTGCAGGTACAAATGATTTGCCCATTTTAAAATTGTCTTTTTATTGACTTGATTTACTCTATGCTAATGTCATTGGGATACTTTGGCTTTCTCCTGAAATTGCTATTCCCAGTTACCACAGGGAGTTCAAGATTTCTTTGCAGTTCCCGTGTTACTAAAATATAGGTGATTGAGGACTATATTCAGAGTATGGCATTCAAAAGTTACTTGAAATATTTTTTGTATGATTATATTGTCAATTGATATAATTTAGACTTGTTTGTCTTAAATTTTAGGGTTTTTCTTTTACTTAACTGAAGAGCTTGATGATATAAAGATTTACATAATTAAAAACTTACTAGTAAAACCATGTAAAGTTTTACTCAGAGAATTTTTGCTTCCAAACTGATCCTCTTAACCTTATTCCCACTCACCCTCTATAGATAACTATTTTCATTAACTTCTGGTTTGTCCTGTCTGTTTTTCTTATTGTGAAAATAAGCAAATCTCTGTTTATGCTATATTCTTATTTCCCTTTCTGTTTTACACAGTCGTTAGCACATTCTATTCAGTGCTCTTGACCTTGCTTTTTTCATTTATCCACATCAGTTCACAGATATATTCCTTTTTTATGGTTTCATATATTGTGTGCATATAATATAGTTTATTCAATCAGTCCTCTATGGATGGATATTGGACTGCTTGTAATTATTTTGCTACTGGTTTTCTTCTTAACTTTTAAATTTGAATGGATTGTAGATTCACTGGGAGTTGCACAAATAGTACATAAAGCCTCTATTAAAACCAGGGAATTTCCTAGCCAGTATGGCTTAGTTGTTGAGCATTGGCCCATGCAGCAAGAGGTCACTGGTTCAATTTCCGGCCAGGGCACATGCCTGGGTTGCAGGCTTGATCCCCAGTGCGGGGGTTTGAGGGTGTATGCAGGAGGCAGACAATCAGTGTTTCTCTCTGATCAATGTTTTTATCTCTCTCCCTCTCCTTTCCTCTCTCTCTAAAATCAATAGAAACATATTAAAAAAACACACAAAAAACAGCGAATTGATGTTGACACGCCATTGTAAGACATAGACTTTATTCAATTTTAAAGAATTTTGTATTTAATATTTTTTTATTGATTAAGATATTACATATGTGTCCTTATACCCACGTTACCCCCTACCCCCCCCCCGCCCCGCTCATGCCCCCACCCCCCCCGCTGTCTGTGTCCATTGGCTAGACCTACATGCTTGCATGTAAGTCCTTTGGTTGATCTTTCCCCCTCACCCCCACCCTCCCCTACCTTCCCTCCAAGGCCCGACAGTCCAATCAATGCCTCTCCGTCTCTGGATCAGTCCTTGTTCATCAGTTTATGATGTTTATTATATTCCACAAATGAGTGAGATCATGTGGTATTTATCCTTCTCTGACTGGCTTATTTCACTTAGCATAATGCTCTCTAGTTCCATCCATGGTGTGGCAAATGGTAAGAGTTCCTTTTTCTTCTTCCTCTTCTTAAAGAATACCTTTCAGCATTTCATATAATGCTGGTTTGATGGTGATGAACTCCTTTAGCTTTTTATCTGTGAAGCTCTTTATCTGACCTTCAATTCCGAATGATAGCTTTGCTGGATAAAGTAATCTTGGTTGTAGGTTCTGGGCATTAATCACTTTGAATATTTCTTGCCACTCTCTTCTGGCCTGCATGGTTTCTGTTGAGAAATCAGCTGACAGTCGTATGGGTATTCCCTTGTAGGTGACTGACTGTTTTTCTCTTGCTGCTTTTAAGATTCTCTCTTTGTCTTTTGCTCTTGGCATTTTAATTATGATGTGTCTTGGTGTGGTCCTCTTTGGATTCCTTTTGTTTGGGGTTCTCTGCGCTTCCTGGACTTGTAAGTCTATTTCTTTTACCAGGTAGGGGAAGTTTTCTGTCATTATTTCTTCAAATAGGTTTTCAATATCTTGCCCTCTCTCTTCTTCTGGTACCCCTATAATTCTGATGTTGGTTCGCTTGAAGTTGTCCCAGAGGCTCCTTACACTATCTTGGTATTTTTGGATTCTTTTTTCATTTTGCTTTTCCGGTTGGGTGTTTTTTGCTTCTTCGTATTTCAAATCTTTGACATGATTCTTGCGATCCTCTGGTCTGCTGTTGGGAGTCTGTATAATATTCTTTATTTCAGTCAGTGTATGCTTAATTTCTAGTTGGTCCTTTATCACAACATCGAGGGTCTCATTAGATTTCTTGAGGATCTCACTACATTTATCGGCGGTTTCCATAAAATTCTTGAAAAATCTTAGAACAGTGGTTTTGAACTCTATATCCAGTCGTTTGCTGTCCTCCATTTCTGTCATTTGTGACCTGTTTCTTTGTCTTCTCATTTTGTCTGCTTCTCTGTGTTGGTAGAGTGGTTTGTGTGCTAGGTGTCCTACAGGGCCCAGTGGCTCAGCCTCCCCAGTTACCTGAGGTGGACACTCTTGGTGCACCCCCTTGTGGGCTTTGTGCACAGTCTTGTTGTAGTTATGCCTTGGTTGTTTTAGGTGTCACTGGGAGAAATTGACCTCCAGGCCAATTGGCAGTGAGAATCAGCTGTGTCTGCAGTGGGAGAACTTCTGTGCTGAAGACACCCTTCTGGGGCAAGACTTGCTTCAGTGGGGCTTTGGTGCTCACTGAGTCTGCCCCCTGAGTGTGTTCCTTATGAATCTGAGGAGTTATAATCTGGGTGGTCCCACTCTGACCACTGGGTACACTGGCTCTTGGATCTAAGGAGGTGCTAATTAAGCCTCTTCCTGAGGTTACCCAGCAGGAGCTACGAATAGATAAGCAGATTCCCCTTCCTTTTTTGGGGGGTTTGGGGGTGCCCAGATGAGGCCCAGCTGTGAAGCAATGCAAGCTGCTGTGTGGCCTTGGGCCTTCTCTTGGAAGTTCTGGGTCTGTCTGGCCCAGCTGCAATTTGTTAGGTAATTGTCAGTTTGCAAAGGACCCGGGCATTCATATGCAAAAGGCTTTGCAGCAGCCTGGAAGGGGCGGGGTCTCGGAATCAACGGGGCGGAGAAGCAGCTATGGCTGATTCTCAGCCTTGCCCTAAGGGGCCGCATGTCTCAGTGTCCTGGTAATTGCTGCCAGCACCTCTGAGGGAAAGCCGCCCTCAAGTTCCGAGTTCTGCCTGCTGCCAGACCGTCCAGTTTCTCCCCGTATGAGCCCTGGGACCCCAGAGATTTCCCGGAACCGGAGTTCAGAGCAGTCGGGAGCTTGTGACTCCCTCCAGATTCAAAAAGACAGCCGAGTCCTCAGGTGCCCGCCCCTTTCTGCGCGCAGGAGCCTCTGTGCCTCCGCACTTCACTTTCCTAGTTCCTCTGAGTCTGTGTGCTCTTCTTTTTCCTTCTAGTTGTAGAATTTCCACTCAGCCAGCCTTCCTGTGGTTCTGGATGATGACCGTTCTGTCTTTTAGTTGTATTTTTGAAGTTGTTGTCGGAGGCAGCAATTTTCCGTGTTTTTCTATGCCGCCATCTTGGTTCCTAAAGAATTTTTTAAAATTGATTTTAGAGGGGAAGGGAGAAGGATAGAGAGAGAGAGAGAAACATCAATAATGGGAGAGAATCATTGATTGGCTGCCTCCTGCACATCCCCTAATGGGGATCGACCCTGCAACCCGGCCATGTGTCCTTGACTAGAATCAAACCCAGGACCCTCTGCAGGCTCATGCTCTAGCCACTAAGCAAAACTTCTGGTCAGTGCAGCATCAGTGTTCTTTTGAGTTGGTTGTGGATTTTTCACCTGCTACTCTTCTTCTTTTTCAATTATATATCACGGTCTGTGTGGTTGCATCATTGTCAGATTTATGACTCATTGTCAGATTTATGACTGTAGATTGACAAGTAGCAGTGGTATTTGGGACCCATAATTAACCAAAGGTGAGACACTTTTCCATTGTGTTTCAAGTGAAACCATTTATAATGATATTTTTCAAATAGATTTACACACACTTTACTGTTATTTTTTTTATCACCAAGTTCTTTTTCTACTGAAGAATGGGAGGCAGACAGTAGGGGAACTCAGAGGTATGTTGAATCACTGAAGTGAATAGAGTGGATATTTTTTGAGAGCCACTGTTGAACCTGAAGGAAGGGGGTTGGAATTGAGGAGATTTCTATCACATAAACGAAGGGAAAATATGGGGCTGGAAGACTTAATATCGTGTATAATTGATAGGAGAGAGGAGAGAATGAAACCTCTGGTGCCAGACCCACATATAACCTGCCTCTTGGCAAAAGAGGTCCTGCTGTCAGAACTCTTGCCCTAAAACTTTGTAAAAGCCAGGTTCAAGAATATCTTTCTGTTCTCTGGGACACAGATGAATGGGCCTCTCCTTTCATTATCTTCTTCCTCCAGCTTATGGATCCTTGGCTCAATTCCCAGAAGGATAACGAGCGGGAACGGGCCATGTGGTGTGCTGCGCGTATTCTGGAGTTTACAGCAAAAATGGAGGACTTCAGTGTGAGTGGGAGCCGGCCCTGGAGTCTGAATTCTCATACCCTGTCTGGTTGCCCTTACCCCTACCTTCATCATATATATTACCTAGCCTCAGTCACTCATTCTCATCCTCATTCTCCGTGGCCCATGCTGTTTTCTCTTGTGCATCCCATCCTGTTCTCTCCTTTCTCCCTTCTGTCATCTTCTACTTGGTCTTTTTCTCCAACCATCAGTTTTATTTCATCCCACATGGTTCAGTTTGACGTTACTTGTCTGAACAAGCAATGACTAAACACTCGCCATGTGCCAGGCACTGTGGTAGGTGCTGTAGGGAATGCACAGATGACCAAGATAGTTTCTGACTTCATGAACCTTACAGTCCACTGGGGACAGAGGCATGCATAGAACAAACTTAAATAGCAGGTGATAATGAATATATAAACTGAATATAGTGGGACTAAAAGATCAAAACAAACAATTACAAGTTGAGCGGGCAGGGAAAGGTTCATAGAGAAGGCGGCATTGAACTAGACTTGACAGATGAGTGGGGTGTCAAGGGGCAAAGAAGGGGGATAGAGTAAGTAATTATAAAATGATGACCTCTGATGTCCTTTATGGCCACAACTCATCTATCTAATTCCATTCCCATTAACCTCACATAGTCTCACCTTTCATGTCTCTGGCACATGCATTTCCTCCTCTGAGTTCTTCCTGTGATAGCTCAGCCTAAGGGAATGGCTGGGATAACTTGTGACTTCCAGCTTCCTTCCCCAGATGGAAATTGAATTCACCCAGCTGGGGCGCTTGGTAAAGCTGCTGGCCATGCGCTGCCAGGACCCAGTGGACAGCATCTGCTTCCTGTCTGCCAAGGCTGTGTATCACCTCTACTGTATCCTCTTGAAGAAAAAGCGTATGAGGAACCTGCTCTTACCACTCCCCCTCCAACCACACACTTAGGCCTGGCCATCCCCACACACTCGTCCCAAGACAGTGAGAGCCAAGAAGCTGCTTGAGTACCTCATTTCCATTGAGGAACTTACTCCCAAACATCTACAGATAATCTCTTGGGAAAAAATACCTACATAGGAAATACTTCTTTGGAATTAGTTTCTTTGTTTTTGGCTCAGCCCCATCCTTTTACCCAATTCTATCTCTGCTCTGAGGCAGGCAAGATAGTTTGTTTGTCTTTTACCTCAGCTCCCACCATTTCTTACCTTAATGCCCATTCCTCTACTACCAGCCCCAAAGGACATACATAGCCCCAAGCTGACTTAGTTCAGTAGGAGCTTTGGGCTAGAAGGTGGGAAAGGGGGAGTTTAACATGCCTTCTGAGTGTCTGAGAGGTGGGGCTGGGTGTCTCTGTTTCAGAGATGAAGAAGAAAATACAAGGCTTGTGGATAGAAGAGGGCATGGATGAAGCCTATAGTGCCAACTTGTTCTATAACAACACCGTTGAGATTGCCGAGGTGAGGGAGCAGGACCAGAGACAAAGTGAGGGAAGCCTGGGCGTCTCATTTACATGCTATTATAGACTCCTGGGTGGGACTCCTATCCTGTCTCTCTCCCCATTCTATTATTGGATGTGAACTTTCCCTTTGGGGGAAATTTTCCTATCACATGCTACTATTTGTCCCCCCTTGAGCATCAATGGTCCTGATCCTTGTCTTTCCCTGTCCCCCCAGAAGCATTTGCTTCATGCTAATGCTGCTTTGTGAGCAATGTGTAGACTCAGAGATGTCACTGAGGATCTTAGCCCCAGCCCTCCTCTCCCGGGGTTCTGCCTCTGCACCCCCTGACCCTGAGCCCCACATTGCACTTGAGACCACTGTTTCCTCCCTTCCATCCCCAGGACTCTGTCCCCAGGAAAGGGTCTTCTAGGAGTTAGGGAGATAGCACAAGCCTAGGACAGAAGCACAGGAGCTCCCAAGAGAAGCCCTCCCTCACCAGGAGGAATGGCACAGGCTGTCTCAGGCAGGGGGAGCCCTGCATCCAGACTCATCGCACCATGTGATCCCACCCTGTTGCAGGCCTTTGCAGAGTACTTCACCCAGAGCCAGCTCACCAACCTGGTGCTGACAGCCATGGAGGAGCTGACGGGCAGCAGGGCTAAGGTGTCTCTGGCTGCAGCCCAGTTGATGAGCGCTGTCATGAAAAAGCGGGGCTCAGATTTGATAAAGGTAGTGTGGTGCTGGGTGGGAGCTCTGCCCTGAATGTCAGGGGCACTGGCTCATGTCCTGGCTCTGCTACCAAGCAGCCAAAGGGCTGTAGCCAAGACCCTCTCCTCAGCTGGCTTTAATTCATTCACTTCTAAAATGTAGGCTTGCACTATATTTCCTCTGTGGTCCCACTGAGCTCTGACATTTGTAATCCTGAGCTTGTAACTGCAGTGCCTCCTATCTGGGCGGCCGATTCCACAGTAATGACAGCCATGTGCAGGGGTGTAGGCATTGTTGGGGGACTCACCCCGACCCCCTGGAAGCTTAGACCTCTGCGAAGGGGTAAGGCTGTCGATTGGAAACAAGGAAGCTCACAGAATGACTGACCTATGTATAAATGTTCTTTGAAGCTAGCATAAATATGGGAAGGCCTAGCATTTAGAAATCTGTTCCTCACTTCACTAAGAAAAAACAACTTCAAAATCGGGTCACATAGGGCAAGTCTGTGAGTGGCCACCATCCTCTTTATATGTGTCACGGGCTGCCCACCCCCTTCTCTCTATGAATCCCCAGACACCCGTTGCCTCCACTCATTTATGTGACTGGCGTGGCCTAGGTACAGAAATGGAAGGGCACCATGACAGTCCTTGAGATATTACAATGAAATGGACTTCCCAGAGGTCCATAGTTTAGAACTCTGAGCACCGGATGAGAACCCTGTGGTCTTTCCACATCCAGTGCCACTGTCCCTGTAGTTTCAGGGCTAGAAGTTGACCTTAGCTGGAAGGGAAAGGCCTGAGTGCCTCCAGGGCTTTGGCTTTCTTTCTGGAGGGTCTTCTGTCTCCTGAGGAATCTCAGACCACCTCTCTGGATGTGGGGGTTCTGGGTAGGCATTTGCTCTAGTGGGCCTTGGCCCGAGCTCCCTTTTGTGGGCCCTGCTACTCTGGCCTTTGGCACCCCGGAACTCTGCCTTGAGAAGAGAGTCAGGGACAGGATTGCAACTAGGCCCCTTGAGTTTGAGGACTCAGTAGAGCGGGAGGAGGAAGGAAGGAAGTCAAGAAGGACTGACGGGGTTTTCTGGCTCTCCCCTGCAGGTTGAGGAAATTGTGGTGGGCACCCTGGAACGGCTCAAATTGCAGCTGGAGCCCAACACAAAGGAGGAGACCCTTCGGGCCCTGTGCTTGCTGGCAGGCAACTGCACCCACAGCGTTGTGCCCCTGCTGCTCAACAGGCCCCTCCCTTGGGATAGGTACCTCTCCCACACCCAGGAGCACACTCCATCCCAGTAAACCCTCCCCTGCTCCAACCCAAGCCCATGTTAAAAATCACTGCACAAGGATGCTTTCTTCTTGATGCCAATCAAACTTCATGTTCTTTGGCCAAGTCCTCTTGGGCCTCACTCCCACTAGAACCTGAGAACTGGCCCTTCATAGGCTCAGGACCAGATTGGTACTAGAATATGATTACCAGGGCCCATGACATAGCTGTCCCTGGCTCCTGCAGAACCATTTTGGCCCCATGGAGGTTGTTCGGCACCGAGCGAAAGACCACAATCAACGTCCTGCAGCTGCTGATAGGCATCCTGGAAAACCACTCCACAGAGGGCACGACGGAGAAAGCCCTAGAGCCCGAGGAGGTCAGCATGGGGAGGGTGGGGGGCGGAGGACTTATGTCTGGGACTTACGTGCAGATTAAAGGGCACGTGCTGGGTGCGGTCAGTTGTTAGGGAGCAGTGAAGAGGAGACTGTTAACACTGGACTCACTAGTACTGCACATACGGTTAGCACTTGAACTTTGTACATCCAAGAACTCCATGATGTAGAAAGTGCAGGAATCAATCCCATTTCATCGACAAGGAAACTGATGTTCAGAGTTAATCAGCTTTTTCTATCTCTTGATTTTGGGTCTGGCACCCATATTTCTGGGGGCCTGGCCAGGGGCATGCGGTGCTAGGCGCAGAGGATGAAGTTTGGTTGTCTGAAATGGGGTGGCCCAATTTATTTTCTGCTGAAAAATTAGAGTTGGTTCCCTTTTTGTTTTTAATGTTTGGGAATAAAGAGAGAGCAGATTACATATGTTTGGCCCCTCATTTCCCCAGGGATGAGCTGTGGGCTTTCAGTCTTTGAGTGCTTCTTAGAAACCTCAGTCAGGGTGCACTGTGACCTTTGGGCACTGACAGGGAGGGGCAGTGTGTGGGTTGTGGGACCATTTATGTCAATTCTGCTTCCTGCTTTCCATGTGTCCTCCCCAGGCGGCGTTTGCCTTGGCGGCGTTTGCCTTGTGTGAGATGCTATCCGGGACTCTGTGCCGGGAGGCCATCCTGGAACTCTACCCCCGGCTATTGCTGGCTTCTGGGTGATTGAGCAAAAGATCCCCAAGAATGTGGTGGTCTACAGGAAGGTTGGGGGCTCAGGCAAGACCTTTGACCCCACTAGGTAAGCCTAACCCTGGTGTGATGGAGAAATGAGGCTAGTCAACTCCAGAGGGCCCTGGACAGCTGGATGCCAATCCCCTAGGGAAGCTGAAGAAGAGACTGACAGCAGCACAGAGCTAGAATGTCGGTGTGGGTGCCCCAACATCACGTGCTGGAATGTCCCCACATATTTTCATGTTGTCTCATTACCCTTTTTCTTGCATGCACTCCTCTGCTTCACCCAGCGGTTCACATCTCTGTTCA